CACGACTTAATTATTGTACTTGTAACGAACTAGGGACAGTACTGCCAGCCATCCTCAAATCCTTTTATCCATTGTGCGACTGTTGTGCCACGTGCCCAGCGTCGGTCGTGCAAGTGTCATGCAATTGGATTTATATTAAAAATCATTTACAGGTGAAATTAATAAATACTTCTAAAACTAGTTAGTGAAAAAGTATTAGTTTGTTTAATGTAAATTGATTTGATATAAGTTGTATATTTATTTGGGATGTAGTAGAAAAATAGCAATTAATGATTTATAGTTATAATAAATGAGTAAATAAATAAAAAAAATTATAGAGAATTGTGTAATAATGATTAATTTTAAATCTAAAATTATGTTGGGAGAATTTATATTTATATATATATATAAAGATGAGCAACAAAGCATTAAATTATATTATCATGCATTAAATTTTATTATCCCTCCAAAATTTTCAACATTCAACTTTATTAGTTTTCACATACCACCTAAAACTGTTACATTCAGTTACAAAACATTTAATTTATTTATTTTTTCTTTTTTTCTTTACTCATCTCAATTGTGTAACGTTTTTTATCACCTCTTCCCCACCAATCACATTATGTAACAATCATTATTTGATCTGATGTGGAAGAATTCATACTTATTTCCTTTTCAAATTTCATTTATCTTTGATTACATAAAAATAATGTTATAAAATAATTCAGATTCCAAAATGATGTAATGCTCATTCTTCGATATGATCTGATAGGATTCATGCCTATTTCCTTTTCACTTTACTTATTTGTTGAATGAACGTAACAAAATAATTATTTATATGTGTATTATATATATATTCAAAAAATTTTATGCTTGAGTACGTAAAAATGATTGACACGATAATTCAGATTCCAAAATTACAAAATCATATAATTAAGAAATAAAACTAAAAATATCCAATCATCTATTTCAATATATATATATATACAAGAAAAAACAATATATCTAATTGTATAAATCATTAATAATGAATTATATTTCAAACACCAATATATATCATTATCATGTTGCCATATTCGAATTTTATATATTTTTTCTTATTCTTAATCCAAATGTTATGGTGCAATATTATGTTACTAATGTCATTTAACTAAAAAGTATTATCTAATCAAGAGATGTCAAATTTTCTATGGCGTTATATTAAAATATAAATGTTGTATATAAAATGTTTTTTTAATAATATTTAGAATTCTTTTCTTAATTAATATTTTTTTTTGAATTAAATTATGATTTATTATTTTTTTTATTCTCTTATTTTCTTTTTTATGAATTTGTATCTGTGCAAATGTACAGGTTGATTACTAGTGTGAATGAAATAGAGTAACAAAGTGAATTAACTAAATGATACCTATATATACATTACTAGTTAAAGAGAAGTGAGTCAGACTTTTCAAATTTGTCCGCCAAATAATTATTATTTTATTTAAAAATCTTTGGTTTCATATTCAAATTTTAAGTTTCTTGGAACAAAATTTAAAAATGCCTTTAATTATTTACATATTAAAATAAATTAAACTCTCAAAATTAATATAAAATAGCTGTTATATTTAATGGAAGTCAAAGTTTGAAAATAGTATAATCGCTATTTAGTGGGATCTTACTCATTTGATACACACACAATTTAATATATATATATATATATATATATATATAACTATTTCAAGTTCATTAATTTTCCTCACAAATGATATTTTATTAACAAAAAGAAACGACATGAATCTCTCTCTCTCTCTATATATATATATATATATGTGCGTGTGTGTTATTAAAGAAAAATTCTATAAATTAAATTAAGAAAAAAATCCTTTTATTTACTAAATATTTAAATATTTTGATTATATATAAACTTCAATACACATAGCACATTTTATCCACATTTTATATATAAAACACCACATTAATAATATTTTTATGATTCTTTTATTCTAAAATTTGGTACATATATAAAACAAAAAAATGTCCTTGACATTTTTAACTAAATTTTAAAAAATAAATCTTAAAAATATTTGCTATGTGGTTGGCTATGTGGTTTACCATTCTTTGCATGTGAGTGTTGAAATTTGAGAGCTTCATTCATATTATCCTATATATGGCAGTATTCTGTAACTATTTCTTAGGCATTATGTGATCAATTTGGGAATAAAAGGCAAGATTGTGGTGTGTTCACTAGGTTACTAGAGGGTTGTTATAGATTAAAAATGTGTTTTTGACTTATGATTTCTTAATGGTATAACGAAAAGATTTTTAACCATAAATCTATAAATTTAAATTTTTTTACTAATATTCTTTGTAAAAGTATTAGTAATTGCTCGTTCAAACCCATAGTTGATAGATTTTTCTTTTGTTTTTTGTGATTATTCTTCGTCACCACATGTGAACGTAAATAATAATCACTTTTTCTTGAGAAAATTGATTTCATAACATGTGAAGGAAGGTACCAATTAACGAAATTGTGGCGCAGTTATGGATGTGGGCATCTCTTTATTATGAAAATTGATTTCATAACATATTGACTTTAGCAATACCTTTCTCAACCTACGGAGATTAAAAATTCTCTTCCATTTCTCTAGAGTTAGGTGAAATTTATTTTATTAGTAGCTAAAAAGTAGTGATAGTTAATGGAACTAGTAAAACACGCGTTATTGTGAAAAAATCTTGTTTGATGTAATTGGAAAGACGAAAATTTACCTAATCAGACACGATTTTTTATAAATATTTTAAGATAAAAATTCAATATTTTTTTTTAAAAAAAATTAATAATATGGTTAAAATTTAAAATATGTTTCATGTTTATTTTGATCAAAATATTATCAACATGAATCACAGGAAATCAATGTACAATTATTATTATAATGGATATCACTGACATTATTACAAATGTTAATAAAACTATTCAAAGAAATAATTTCTTTTACTTCCTCCGGTAAATATTAGACGTATGCTT